CGTGTCCTAACTGTCGTACGTGTCCTCACTGTCCTACGTGTCCTCACTGTCCTACGTGTCCTAAATGTCCTAGAATCGATGCCGAAGGTTCGTGCCAATACCGTCATTTATGACAGTAGGTATTAGGACAAGTTAGGACGTTTAGGACGCTTTTAGTACGGAAAAGCTTCTTCCAAGAGGTAGGTATACAGAAGCGAACAGCAAAGGAAACGAGTTTTGTCTTAAGTATATTTCCTTCGGTATCTGGCAGCGAGATTGTGTCATGAGGCGTTCAATCGGTGAACATTTCAAGTCGCTCCTACTGGTCGGATACACGGTGTAGTGGACGAATCGCAGATGAATTTGTGTCAATTTCTGCGTTCTCGACGCCTCCCAAAAAAAACGTAGTTGGAGCGTTTTAACGATAGCAGTTATGGAGATTACCCGTGCCTGGAACATAAGAACACGGCCTTAAACATTTAAAGTTTGACATGGACAAAGTTGTAGGGTATGGGACGAATTGGCTTACTGGTTTCGAGAGTCTTCAAGATTTCTTCTGAGGACTGCGTCCCTGCAATTCGTCAGCTAAATGGTGTATTTGTATCACGTGTGTGAAATGGCGGCTCCTATTCATGCGCTCAAGAGTGGATTCGTTGATGGTTTGGTTCAAGAGAAGGAAGCAGGGGTAGCCAATCGTGTGATACTCAGAATTCATCCCGTAGAGTTGTTGTTGTTGTTGTTTTGGAAAAACGCAGGAAATTGACTTCTGTTTAAGGGGGATAGCTTTGAAACTGTTTTAGTGCTTAGTGTACTGCTACACACCAAATACTCTTGAGATGACATGTCTTCTTGATGTTACAGTCTATGGGACTAATGAAAGTGTTTTTAACCTTACCACGTGCAGTATTGGAACAGCCTTAGAATAAGGAAGACGGTGCTGAGCTCTGAGGAAACGATACTGAAATCTGAAGAAAGATCGATATCTCCTCTCCTAGGTTAAACTGCCGCCCTACAGAGCTTCGAGAGGAATAGGATGGCGCGAGCTACCATATTTACCAGACCCGGTTAAATTTTGATCTCGGATGCCTTCATATAGATAGACCTTTCCGGGTTCAAGCTTTGTAATCGTTTCTGGAAGCAATATACTTCCTCTGTCCCACGAATTTATGCC